CCTTTCTCAGATTTGTTCATTTCGTGATGATATCTTGGATTCTATAATTTTGGTGAATATTTTTGTCATATTTGGTAAAAAGTGATATTTTCGACTTCTTGTTAAAAACCAAAAGTTCAATTGCTTTGATATTACATATATAGATACTACATGTAGACCTTTCTCAGATTTGTTCATTTCGTGATGATATCTTCAATTCTCTAATTTTGGTGAATATTTTAGTCATTTTTGGTAGAAAGTGATATTTTCGACTACTTGTTAAAAACTGTAAGTCCGATTGCTTTGATACTATACATATTGTTCATTTTCTGATGATGTCTTCAGTTCTTTAATTGAAATGTGCATTTCTAACAGCGGAGCTATCTCAGCCGATAGGCTGCTTGTTTCTTCAATAATATGAAGATTATTCAACTGATCATTTTCAAATTTGGTTATATTTTTCATTAGTATAAAATCTCAAGAAACATTAATTCTGGTGTGTATTATGTTTTTCATCCCTTTTCAATAAAATAAAAAATTGCATGACTTTTTTGTTTTGTTTTGTTTTGCAGGAAGTCTTGACACAAGAAAAAAGAGTCTATGAAATAGCTCAGAAATTTGGGTGTGTACAACATTTTATTCTCGTTTTGGGACTGGGATTTTACAAAATTAGTTATTAGATTAGTTGTTTTAAATTGTGGAAAAAAAACTTGGGGTAACCTTACTTGACAACAGAATATGTTTATTTTATATTAGAGGTATTGCGGCCGGCGAAGATAATGGACAGAGAGGGTATCAGCTTACATTTGCTATAGCTTACCTTAGGGTAAGTAAAGACTCCATTTTGTTATGTGTGTTGATTGTACAAAGTGTTGATTTTATATGTCACCTTCACACATGTGTCACTCTAAGTAATGTGTTACTGTACCACATACCATATTTGCAGTGTTAGTAGCACATGTGCTCACATAAATAGTAGAGGTGTGTCTATGGTCAAAATATGTTCTTAAACAATCAAAACTCCAGTATACAATAAATGCAATTTTTGGCTAATGTGTGTTTGTTTTCATATACTTCAAATAAAGCAAATATGGTGTCACCTTTATTAGTTGATTGCTATAGCAACAACAAACATGTTAATCACTGAATTAAGCTGAAACCCTGAAATGTATCATAAAAATGTATGTTGATGGATGTGTAATGTTACAATTAATATTACAATAAATATTTCATGAATTTTTTGAAAAATGCAATGAGATAAATATTAGCAGAGACTCAAACCTTGTTTCTTTGGACTCGATTCTCACACATGTCCAGTTGATGACCCCTAGTAGATTTTTCATAATCAAGTTTTGGTTCTATTTTCTATTTTACTTCAGGATATTGGTTTAGATTACTACATGATTTCAGAATCATTTGAGACTTCAGTTCCATGGGACAGGTAAACATCCATAATTTGTTTATAATTTATAGTCAATGTAAAAAATATAAAATTTTGTATCGTGTGGTCGAACAATGAATTACAGCAACTTTTGAGAAATCATGTTTTTGCAAATATAATAAAATCATCAATAAGCAAAAACTGAAGGCAGGGGGAAAAAATGGTTTGCAGTATGTTCTACATCATTAAAGTTCCGTTAGTTTGACTCTTCCATTTTTTCAATTGACTGAATTAGAGGGGTGTTAGGTCATTATAGAGGGTATCAATTTCAATGATATTTAGAGGAAATCTTGTATCCAATGTACACCAGTGAGTCTTGTTTGTGTTATGTCATTGCCTGATATTGAAGTTTGATTGCTTATGATTATTTTATTTCTGATTTTATCATTTAGAGTTTTAGATCTATATCGAAATGTGAAAGAAAGAATCTATAAGGAATGTCAAGATAAAGGAGTGCAGTACACTCCGTATGTGACAGCGAGGTAAGCATTGGGTTAGTGTGTTGAATTTACTTACCTTGAATGGAAATTTTTCTACAACCGAGAAAACAAGAAACAAAATTAATACAGTGTAGAGTCTGGAGCAAATACTTTATACATCTTGTTCAGAACAGTGCCTACATCACGGGGACTATTAATTTGGGTTCGTTCCGTTGTACATACGTACATCCGGAACTATATCTCGGACACCCATTGACGGATTTCATTCAAACTTTACATGAAGACAATACATAATGTCTTACATATATGCGCCAAGTTACTTTATGATCGGAGAAAAAATGGCCGACTGGCGGCCATTTTGGATGTAAAATTTGCTATTTCTGATACCTAAACATGTCCGCAGCAGTTTCTCGAAGATAACTGGGCCGATTTGGATCAAAGTTGCTATGATGATCATACATATTGGGTTGTAGGTGCACCTTTTTTTTTTTTGTGATTCAAACAAATATGGCCGACTGGCGGCCATCTTGTTTTTCATGGTACCCATGCTACTTTATCTTGAATGCGATGAACGTTTCTGTTTAAATTTTGTACACAGATAGTATACCAAGAGATACATCTGCACCAACATGATTTTTGTGATTCGATTCAATATGGCTGACCGACGCCCAAATTTGCTGTAAAAGCGTTAAATCATCATTTTTTACATGTCTAGAGCTGTTTCTCAGAGATGACTAGGCCAATTTAGATCAAAGTTGATATGTTGATCATACATATTGGGTTATAGGTGCTTGTCATATTTTTTTCGTGATTCAAACTAATATAGCTGACTGGTGGCCATTTTGTTTTTCATGGTACCCTATGCCTACTTTCCCATAAATGCAATGAACATTTCTGTTTAAATTTTGTACAGAGACAGTATACCAATAAATACATCAACATGAACATTATTTTTGTAATTTGATTCAATATGACTGCCCAGTGTCCAATTCTCGTGTAAAAGCACTAAATCATAATTTTTTACAAATCCATCTCCTATTAATGGTTTCAATCTAATCTCAATGACTTCATCAGCATCAAATTGATATGTCAGATCACAAAATTTTGGACGGGGACTGTGTCATTAACAATGACTTGTGTTTTACAGAGTTACCCAGACATATGATGCAGGTGCTTGTGTTTATTTCTACTTTGCATTTAACTATCGAGGTCTTAGTAATCAAGTACAAGTTTATGATGAAGTTGAGGTAAATAAGTTTTTCTTCAGATTATTATTTATCACATCTGAACTAACTTACCAATCATTACATATGTGTTACTCACATCTGAACTCACATCTGAACTCACTTATCAACCATTACATATGTATTACTCACATCTGAACTCACTTATCAACCATTACATATGTATTACTCACATCTGAACTCATTTATCAATCATTACATATGTATTACTCACATCTGAAGCTCATTTATCAATTATTACATATGTATTTCTCGCATTTGAACTCACTTATCA